GCTTTTTATTATTATAAGGAAGTGTACAAACACCTCTTATTATCATCATTTCTTTAAAAAATATTAGTTACTTTATATTTTGTCTAAGGTTGCTTTCCAAAACCTCTTAATGACTGCCAAAACTCTAATAAACAATTAGTGTGTAACCTGATGAAACTCTGCTAATTGTTGAAATCCCTAAATGCAAAACTCTGCCAAAACTCTAACAAACAATTAGTGTTACCTGCCAAAACTCTGCCGATTGATTGCCAGAGAAGTTTTGGCAAGCAACCATAATTTTGTCTAAATTCTTCCTTGTAATTGAAGTGACCTATTATCATGCCTATTATTGTTGTAATTATTATTATTATTAGTATTTTATATTCAAGCATTTATATATATTAACTTTTGAGCTACACTCATTGATTAATTGCAAACTTTTATATTCCATGCTCATCAATTAAGTCATTTTACAAATTTACCTAACAATTTTCTTGCTTACTGCCTCTTTTTTGTACTTAGAAAACTTTGACAATCTGCAAGTGCACTTTATGGTACAATTTATGTAAAGTTATTTATTTTTTTAGATAGCTATCTGGCTAAGTGTCACGTGTGATTAATGATAGGATTTAAAACTACTGAGTGGTAGATATCTTGTTATCTATACATAACGATGCTAAATAACGGTGATTATTTTGATTGTGATTTGGAGGTTGGAATCGACTAATTTAATCGACCAATTAGTCGACTACTAATACTACTAATACTAATACTAATACTAATACTAATACCAATACCAATACCAATACCAATACCAATATTAATACTAATACTAATACTAATACTAATATTTGCTAATATTATCGTTGTCTGACCAATTACGATTTTTGCGTTTTATCATTCAAAATGGAAATTTTTTATGCGGAAGAGTATCAATACCATCAATATGATGATGACGACAATAGTAGTGTGTTGTTGATGATAATTTTACATGTGAATGAATAAACACCTCCAATACAAGGTCCAGTATTCAAGTTCCAATGATTTAAGCGGTGGTTCTAGAAGACCTTTAAAAAAACGAATCGTAACACATAGTTTTGTGTGGAAGTATTTTGAGATTAAATGGAAATGAATTCGTAATTTGCAAATTAAAAAATAAAACGAAATATTATTATTATAAAAAAAAATCTAGTCGACTAAAATAATCGACTAAATAATCAACTAAAAATAGTCAACTAAAATAATCAACTAATAGTCGACTAAGAATTTTTTGGACGATTCCAACCTCTATTGTGATTTTGTATTTTTGTTGTTTATACTCATCAATGATCCAATAATGATAATGATGATGATAATGATAGTATCTTAGCGATTTGATCAAAATCAGAGTTCTTGACTTAATATAAAAATCCACCCTACAACGAGTTAATTATTCATTAGACGATCTTGTTTCTTCCAAGAAAATCGGAAAACAAATGATGGGTGAAATAAAGAAATCGAAGCTTTTGAAGAAGCAAAAGAAAACTTAAAGTCATGGTATAAAGACGACAATTTATCTTCGACCCAATGATAATGACATTTTTTCGAAAACTGTCGAAGAAATGTGAGTTTTGATTTATCAAAGTCTACATGGTCAAACCTCATTTCAATGAATCTACGTTTCACATAAGAAAGTCGCATTCAAAATTTATTACACTAGAAATTATAATTCGTTGAAATGACTTTGACTATAATTAATTTGACTAAATATAATTGTTTTATTATTTTAATTTTGATTCGAGTTATTGGGAATTAAATCGTTCTGAAACACATAAACACAATGGTTCATTTTCCGTGATCTCTTTTATGATCAAAGTTATTCCGTAGATGGAATAGGTAAGTATTTACATTATAGTTATATCATTGATTTATTTTTATTATTAATAATATGTAAGTTTTTTATATCAAATTAAATCTTAGAACTCCAGAAGTCTAACAAACGTAGATCTATGTACTTTATTTTTTTGATAAAAAAAAATTATCCACCATATCATAGTAAAATTTGCGTAATGTATATTCTACCTTAAATTTCAATTCTTCAAAAAAACCTCATAGTAAAAGGTATTAGTTCTATACATGAAGTCGAAATGAAACTATTTCAACTTTTCGATAAAATCCGAAATAATTTTGGATAGTTGAAATATATTTTATTGGTCATGAATAATTTCAACTTTTGTTGTGGATAATAAAATAGTAATAGTAATATTAACATTAACCGTTGAGACAGTCAAACCTCCCAGATTGTTAATGGGTTAATAAATAATATAATATCGTTTTTCCTGAGCCTCTCGAAAACTTATTAACCAATAAAGTAATAACTATATGGAAGTTTAAAGCATTCCACACCTTGTCTGTTACTATCAAGTCTTTTAAAGCGATATTGAGAAATAATCTGGAGTTTGAAGTGAAAAGGCAACACCATTTTTGAATGGCCGTGGATAAGATCTTTTAATATGAAAAGGAATTCATTTGTTTTACTCTTAACGACGAAGTTCGAATTTATAAAAAAGCTTCATATGACGCGAATTTCAAATTTATTTTCACATATAGAAGAAAGTCAACGGAATATGTCGTACGACTAGTAAGTTTTTATAGTGATGGTAATAGTAATAGGTGAAAAAAAAGTTATCCGAATTCATCAGTTCTAAATTTTAGAGCAATAGATGAAAAAAAGTATGTCCGAACTTGTTTGTTTCATGATTGATTAGGGAGCCTTTATATAACAAATATAACAAATATATACAAATTTGGGGGGGTAAATTGTTCTTAACAGAGAATATTTGTTATAATAAATAAAAAGGGCAATGAAAATTCAATGAAAATTCAATTTAAAAAACCATCTGATAATCTAATACTAATAGCAATAATGTAATAACATGTACTATTTTTACTGGTTTCGTTTACATAAAATCATTACAATTAGTTGATCAAGGAACAATTTTCAGGATCGAAGTTGATTAAGATAGTTTGTGAAGGTGACCAAGAAAAAGAGTTTCAGACCGGTAATATCATATAGACTATACGGCGGTTCGCTTTATAGCGATCTCAACAACCGAGATTTGTTGATTTTTTTATAATGTTAAATTTCTCTCATTTGCTTTTTAGCTAACATTAATACAATTGACCAATGTTTTTTTGTTGACGATAATGATGATGATACCGTCAATAATAAAGATTATAACGACGACAATAATAATAATAACAACAACGATAATGACAATGACACCGACAACGACAATAATAGCAACTGCAACTGCATCAATGGTAGTAATGGTGATCGTATTGATGATAATAATGTTGGTGTTAGTACTGGTGGCCATGAGAAACTACCACAAGCACTCACTCTATTCGTATCCACTGACACGCACATTAGCGAGGATAATAAATTAGGATGTGTCTGATGAAAAGGACCTAGAGTGAAGTTACCAAAGCAAAAAATCTCGAAACAAATATATTAACATTATATCCTATCAATTCTAGGTAAAAAATCTTCTCTTGCAATTAGATTAGCATATAAACTACATGAATCTATGAATGTTGACCTTACCTCATATAACCATATCTATTGATGAGAACATATTTTGCCAAATGCCAAGCATATGTAGCATTGAGTAGAGCAAGTTCCTCGGAAATCTTGAATATCTTGAAATTTGATTTTTAAATGTTCAAAAAATAGCTTTGATTGAGTATAAGAAATTAATAGTGATGGATTGAAAACTTTTAACAAAAGATGTGAAAAAAGTAGTAGAAAATCGATATAAATATTTGGAAAAGCTTGCCAATTGTTATTAGTCTTGCATATTAATAAGGTCTTATTGTTACGCTTGCTAAATGCGCAAGTAAGAGTATATCGGTATCATTGTTTTCAGAAATTTATGTAATTGGTGGAAAATAAAGAACCAAGTTTATCATAAATAATTTAAAATGTTATTTTATTAAGAGTGACAAAGATTTTGTTTGTTGATATTACTATATTACTGTTAGTTTGCTTAAATATAAGCCGAATTTCAATCATTAGAGTGTTTTGATATGTCAAATGATATCATTAGTAACAATGATTTTTTCTGATAAAATAATATTTATTAAATTAATAAATATAATAACCAACATTTGTCATTACATTATAATGAATTGCCATTAACATACTCAGGTTCAATAGTTAATATATTTTGCGTTTTTATAAATGAATAATTAAAATGTTTTGTTTGATTAATATGAGGAATTTCATTAATTTAACCCCTTTCTACATTACATCTACAACATCCATATGAAATAATTGATAATTATCATAATATCCAACTGTCCAATATTTATCACATAGTAAATTATCTCTTCTCTAACAAATCAAACTTTTAATTGTTGAATGATTTACTGTAATTGCAAGATAATAATTAAATTAAGATTCCTAACGTTAAATCTAAAAAAAAGCTATATTGTTAAAAGAATTTCTTTTCCTCTCAATTTTCAAGCATGTTTGATTTTGAAATGAAAACATACAGTTTGTTTTCCATAATATATTAAACCACGCGATTTTTGGTCTATTTATATGCTTTTTGTAGTAATTCATTGAACTACTCAATCAATGCACCATTTGACGAAATAGTCTATTTTATGAAAGGATGCTAGAGTGCTTTACATCAAAGTTATTTTCTTTATGCATAATATTCTCATTCTTGTTATTTCATTCATTTCTAATTCAGGTATTTTGTGTATATACACGTGACTTTTAGTTGTATTTAAAGCAAATCATTACTATTTATATTAATTTAGACATTTAGACATTTTTGTCTAAATACTATTTTGGCTTTAGACAACCCCAAAAACAATTTAGACGCCCACCTATAGTACTAACTAAATATGAAACTTGTAAATATAACGCAGTTGAATTTTACATGCATCACATGATTAAAACCTTGTTGATTTTGACATATAAGAATCAGAATGGTAACATTAATTTTCCGATTCAGCATTTTTTTTTAAAAATGGAACAAATTGATCCTTATATATATATGAGCGGGTTCGGAAACCATTTCAGCACCGAAGCATTAACTGATGCCTTACCAAAAAGTATAATTATTAATTAATACAAGAAAACTTTATATTATTAATATCTTAAACTCTATTATTTATTTTTTCTAATAAAGGTCAAAATAATCCACAGAAATGTCCTTATGGTTTATATGCAGAACAATTATCAGGGACAGCATTCACAGTTGATAGAAGTCACAACCAACGAAGGTATCATCGTCATCATCATCATAATAATTAGAATTTTTTTTATTTTTACTTTTATTTATATTTTTTTTAAAAAAACAAGTTGGCTTTACCGTATAAGACCTTCAGTATGCCATCAACCATTCACTAAGCTTGATCCAAAAACTTATAATATTAAAGGCGATTTTTACAAAGATGAAATTGAGTATATTCCAAATCAAATTCGTTGGAAACCTTTCAATGATAATAATGTCCAATCTTCAAAAGAAAAAATCAATTTTGTTTATGGTCTAAATACTTTGGCTGGTTCTGGTAATCCTACCACTAAAAATGGGTTGGCAATACATATTTATAATGCTAATACAAATATGGACAATGATGCCTTTTATAATAGTGATGGGGACTTTTTAATTGGTAAAATAAATTATTATATGATTATCGTTGAAATTAATAACTATATACAAATTATTGATTGGTTTAATTATTCAATAGTTCCTCAACGTGGTAAACTTGATATTAAAACAGAATTTGGTCTTATAATGGTTTCAACTCAGGAAATTGTTGTAATTCCACGTGGTATTAAATTTTCTGTGAATTTACCTGATGGTCCTAGGTAATGTCATCAAATCGTCTCTTTCTTATTATCAATAATTTCATTTATATTGTCTAAATAATGATTTAAATAAAGTCGTGGATATATTCTTGAAGTATTTGGAAATCATTTTGAATTACCGGATTTGGGTCCAATAGGTAAAAATGTCAAATGGTCATTGATTTTAAAATAATTTTTATTTATTCAAAATCAATCAATCAATTGTTAGGCGCAAATGGTTTGGCAAGTCCACGTGATTTTTTAACCCCTGTTGCAAAATTTGAAGATTTGGAATGTGATTATAACATATTAAACAAATATGCAGGACAGTTATTTCTTGCTAAACAAGTAATCTTTAAATTATTTATTCTTTTGATTTTAATATATGTGAATTCTACGAATGATATGAAGCTTATAATATTATTAATTTAGAATCATTCGCCATTTGATGTAGTGGCATGGCATGGAAATTATGTTCCTTATAAATATGATCTTAAAAAATTTGCTACTATAAATTCTGTTTCTTTTGATCACATGGTAACAATATAAACATTTTATATTAAATATTAAATATTAAATATTAAAATTTATTTAATAATTGTTTTTAGGATCCATCTATATTTACAGTATTAACTTCAAAATCTGCTTATCCTGGAACTGCAATTGCTGATTTTGTTATTTTTCCTCCTAGATGGGCTGTACAAGAACATACTGTAAAAATAATTTTATAAATATAGTTGAAAATGTATTTTTAAAAAATATGATTGAAACAAATTTTATTGAAACCATTATTGTTTTTGTAAAAAAAAAAAAAAGTTTAGGCCTCCATATTTTCATCGAAATTGTATGTCAGAATTTATGGGATTGATTGTTGGTAGCTATGAAGCAAAGACTGATTTTCTTCCTGGTGGTGGAAGGTATATATAATTTTTTCTTTTTTAGAAAGTTATAAATCAATATATCTAACTGTTTTATAATAGTCTCCACAGTCAGATGACTCCACATGGTCCTGACGCGACTACATTTAAAAATGCAATCAATGCAGATCTTAAACCTGCTCGTGTTGCCGATGGTACTATGTGTATGTTTTTATATTTTTATATTCATAAACTTCATATATATGTATATATATAATTCTCATCGATCTGATTATATTAATCAAATATAAAATATTATAGCCTTTATGTTTGAATCTTCTTTAATGCTAGGTATAACTCCATGGGGTTTATCTTCTGAACAAGATGAAGATTATATGGATGCATGGCGAGGATTGGAAAAAAATTTCACTAGATAAAAAATGAAATAGAAAATAATTTGGCAAAAAGGATACCTTTTATAAACATCCATATATATATATATATATATGATATAATAATAATAATTTAATAATCATTTGTAATATTTCTTTGTAATTTGCTAAAAAACAATATTATTAATAGTTATTATCATATTCAATTAATTAATGGATGCATATAAATAATACATGTGTCATTTGAAAGGTTATTCATTATAATTGTTGTCATTTCTTTCATTTATTGATTTGTTTTACTTCCTGATTTGAAAAAAAAATTAAAATGCATTAAATATAAATAAAAATCAAATTTGATAATTTAATTAATTGTTGATTGAAATTTCCACCAAATCCCATCAATTCTTTCAACATTTTTTTTTTGCTATCATTACTAGAAGAGTCTAATATATTAATTAATCAGTTAAAGAATAAAATATTACTAGTAATATTAGTAATAAAATCATAAATAATGAAATTAAATTCACCTTTGATAAGATCAATATTTCAAAGTTCATCAGACAACTTTACTTGAATGATGTATATTTGTTATGAAATACCACAACCATCACATTATCACTATTTTGTTTAATATCAATTGAATGTTCTTTTAAATGAATTAGCATTGCTTTTTAAAATTTCGTGTTTATAGAATTCCTCTACTACTAATTTATTATCAGCAAATTCACAAAGATCTCTTTAATAGTTGGTATTTTATATGGAATACTTTTGCATCATTTGTATGCAATCATCGGGCATATTTGATAGAATCGATGATTTGATTCCATTAAATGTATTCAAAGTTAAACTGTCATTATGTGCCCCATCATCAAAATGGTGGATGTCTTGCAAATTTTTTCCACATTGGCATCCCAACACTATAAACATCTGATTCTTTTGTTTCTTCCCCTTTGAAAAACTTCAAGCGCAACATATCATAGATCTTATTTGATGAACTAGTTCACATAATTTTAACTCTGTAGCCTCCTTTGTATTAATATGTTGCTATTATGTAAATCACAATGGATTAAACTTTCTTATATATGACAAACATAAAAAATCACGGTTGTGTTAAATTTGAATGAACAATAATTACCATAATTTTCTGCCTAGTAATTCAAAAAATTTGATCAGATAATAATGTTACACCTTTTTTTTTCTAAATTTCAGAATTTCATAATTTTTCGTCGGTATTTTCTTATTATGTTTAGTTGTGTTGAAAAAGAACAAGGTGAAAATTGTTTTTTAAATGCCAAAAATTATTAAGGAATATCTAAATAAAGAGATAATCATTACGAGATTTATGAGATTATCAAGAAGAGGGAAAAATAATACGGATGGAATCTTATATATTTACATATTTGTTAATAAAATAAATTTATTAAAGGGTGTGAGCGGATGGGAAGAAAGTTTGATTTGAGTACTATATCCATTATCTATATATTACTATTGGATTTTCCACAAAATTAAATAACAACAGCAAAAGGCAAATATTTTGTAATGAGCTCTTGCTCACGAACAGACCCTGTAATTGTGCGGTCAGTTACTTCAACCAATAAATAAATTCCTGAATATTGAAGCTTATAAACACATATATCCTAATTAATTTTGGAGTCTTTCATCTTAACGCCCAAGACTTGCCACTTCTATAAAAGCGGATGCACGAGTAGTTTTTTGATTGTGGAGCATATAACCTGGAGTTTGATCACAGCAGGACTTTGCTAATCCTATAAAAAACCAATAATTATGAATTAATTGGAGATATAGAAATTAAAACATGCCACGAATGAGTAATTAAAATAACGAATAGTATGATTATACACACAATATAGCTCCCTTCATTTGATTTTAATTTTTCCACATATCAATTAAAAATTCCATAGAACGTAGTCAGTAGTATATAAAATGTTTTTGTACTATTCTGTTTTGATGAGCAGTCCTTTAATATAATTTTCGAGTTCTTCAAGATTCTCACATTTAAATTTCTTAAAAATGAAATAAAAATGACATGAAGATTATATATATTAAATAACTTTTGACATCACCTGGAATTTGAAGAATGTGATTTGATTTCAATAACTTCATTCGGTGTTAAAAAATTAATATATGCTTTCTCGGTTTGGAAGATAAAGTGACAAGCAGATTGTAGATATTTTGGCTTGTTGGGTGTTGTGTCCATCTTCTAATTTGCTTGTATTAATAACATATCAGCCAAGAAATTATTCCAAGCAAAAATCTCAAGTAATACTACACAAATACATATTTCTGGGCATTCTATAATATAGGTATAATACGTAATCTTTACGGAAACTTTAGTTCTCAACTCTAATACTGATAGCGATAAAATAAATCAATAAAATAAGCCTTTATCAGCAAATGGTTTAAGTTTGCATTTATCAAGTTGAAACTTGTTTCCAAGCCAAAGCTTGTTATTTATTTTAAGAATTTTTAATTGTAAAAATTGTATTGCTTTGTTGTTATTAGGTCTCCAAAGATGGGATTCTTTGAAAAATTATTTCTCCATAATAATAACGAAACAAGTTATTGACGAATAAAAAATTGCGTTTATAAAGTCTGTTGAATAGAAAAGAAAAGTATTGGTGGAATAATTCTAAACTTACATGCGAGACCGTGAGATGTTTTTTTTATCAAAAAAAAAATTGCGTGTCAGGAATCTTACCAATCACCGGACATAATCAACACAAAATACACACACATTTTGGGTAATTATTTGAAAGATGAAACATATAATATAAATAATACAATGTTGTGACCCAAAACTATTCGGTCTACACTAAGCCTAAACTTAAATCTAGACCACTCATTACTCTAAACCCCACATTAAACTGGTTTCGGTGGATTACAGCATTATAATGTACAACTGTTCCGCACCCTTGCAGATATGAAATTTCAATATTAATATAATCTGTTATTAGTAAGGAATGTAGTATATTTTAGTATTAGGATATATACCCAAAATAAATAGTGAAATTTTATAAACTAACTAAATAATAAAAAAGTAAGATTTTCCATTTCAAAAATTAAAACAAGATATTCGTGTTAAATGGCTTGCACGAAGGGCTTTTATGTTTTAAAAACTTTTTTTTGGCTGTTCGTCGCGTCACGTAACAACGTCGTCGTTAATTTCTTTTTCTTGATTAAAAAATAAATTTACATTCATATTTACATTTGTTAAAATTATGTGGTTTTCAAACAATCAATCAATCAATCAATTAATTTCACATTTCTTATAATTTTTGTGAAATGAGATACAAGAAAAAAAAAACAAGTAAAGAAAGTCAAAAGAAACTTAAAGATGGATAGAAACAAAGAATTCTCGTTTATTTAGTTGTCAAATGATTAATTATTGCTAAAATTAGTAGTTAATAAGTCATTACAAGTCATTATCGGTCTCATTGTTGTGTGTATATGCGTACGATAATTGAATGAATGAACATTTATCAAGAAAAAAAATGAAAGAGGGGTGAGAAATCACAACAAACAATAATAAACAATAAATAATAATAATAAATATTTGTAAATATTTGTCGATTTTTTTTTTAAAAAAAATTTTTTCTGTAAAGATAGATAGACATACACATGCACAAAGACTAAACATAATAATTTGTATAATTCATTTATATAATAATAACCTGATTATGCCCTGAATCCTGGAGAAATATTTTTTTCACCGTTATACAATAATAATAATATTAATAAAATTAATAAATCCAGCGACTCTTTTTTCTTTTTAATATTAAAGTTTTCGGCAAAGTTGAAGACCACTAATATTTAACCCTGGTCACATAGTGATTGTACTACAAATATAACGTGATAATATTTGTTTTTATTTGAATGAAATAAGATTATTCTTGTATAAAAAAAAAAACACAAGTATGAGATCAGACCCTAAAAATTACGGTATTATCAAAAGAAAGAATTACTTGTCAAAAAGAACAAACATCATAACTAATAAAAGGGCCATGAAGAACCTAAGAAAGGTGATAAAGTTGCCATGTGCTGGTTCTGACAAATATATATTTTGGTGTTTAAGATCCACAAGAGGCAGGTGACAATATTAGAAATGATGGTTTCAATATCTTTAACGGCTTCAGAAATCCTTATTTTTTAGTTTTCACAATCTCTTGGGCTTTTATAATGCCAGGCAGGATTGGAAGTTGTAAGAAGGAACGTTAGGGTTTTTGAATGCCATCCAACTTTTTAAAGTATGCTTCTAACCTAATTTTAAAGTATTGATCATCTTTTCCAATGTCATAGCATTGAGTTTATTCGTTCCGGCAATATTAGACCTTTTATAACATCTACAACAGTCAATTACTGTCTTTTGATATAATTTCTTGATCAGTCAAGAATTGCCATCACATTTGAATTTGGTATTGACCTGAAACCATAAAATTTTATAATATATCAGATTTATATTCTTTTGCGATCAATTGAATAGGTATGTGTGCCATAATTTTCTTGTCGATGGTTAAATCTGCGTACAAGTCCATGCCTTCTTTGTATAGAAAAGGTTGGAGCTTTTCTTTATAAATCAATTTATTCTTAAAAAAAAAAAAATATGAGTTGTAAACATTTCTCTACTCTTTTAACAATTAAATATTTTGTTATTTATCAAGCAGAATAAACGTTAGGCAACGAAAAAGTAGAGAAATGGCGGTGGCACAGTAATGGTGATCTCGGACTTTTCACGTACCAGTAGTAGGGATGGGAGAGTTTGATTCGTTTGGTTTAGTCTCGTGAAACCGGTTTAAGCGGTTTGAACGGTTTTTGAACAACATTATACAGTTATACAAAATAATAATTTTCGTTGCATATTTATTGTGGACACACACATGTAAATTTTTATTGATCACATGATAATAATTTACAATTCTTAGAGAGAATAATAATAATAACACACATACTAGCTTAACATTATATTTAAAACCTTACATAAAAATTTCCCTTAATATTTAAAATCACCATAACTTAATGCATAATATACACATACATATTTAAAAATACAAAATGAAAAATAAAGTTCATTTTCTATTTTTTCTGGGCGATAAATCTGTGAGAGAAACTATACGTTTTGAGAGAATTGAATTCTTCCTCCATTTTTGTCATCATAACATTATATTCCTCTTCTGTCATGTCAAGGTGGCCAATGACTTCTGATTTGAGCTTAGCCGACAATCCCTTGAAATAAGCGACTCCAAGTTCACCAAATTCCCTTCCCCAGCTGCCTACAGGTCTTATCATTATCTGATGCGAGTGTGATGATATTTGATTTGTGTTGGCCAAGAACATGTGAAGTTTTTCACATACCACATTTTTTAATTTTAAACTTTCTATTACTTTGTAGGTGGGAAAGTAAAAAAATTATTTGTTATCATCATTATAACTATCATAATAATATATGGTAACAATGAAAATAAATGATTATTATATATACCTGCTTCATTCCATCTTTCGAACGAGGGTCCGGCGTTAAAAACTCTGTTGTCAGTGGGCATCAACTCGAGCCATCCACCACGCTTAGTTAGTCTGACCACTTCTTTGATGATATTTTGTTCCCACTCTTGTTCTGTGAAAGGATTATCATACATCCTAACAAAAACTAGATCAAATTCATTATCAGAGAATGGTAACCCATCCAATAAATTCATATTATAGAAGGTAGCATTGGTCAAGGAGAAGGCTTCACAATCACTATTATCATCAGTTAAAGAATAAAAATCTTTTGTGATTATCCCAACAAATTTTGTATTGGGATATTCTTTACTCGTATCCAGCAGCCATTTTTCTGACTCGAACCTATAAAATAAGATTTTTTTAAAAACTAATTAATTAAATTTTTCTTTTTTTTTTTTTGTTAAAAATTTTTAATTATATAATTATATAATTTTACCCAACATAGAGGACTTTAGCTCCCCCCATTGTCAATAGATCGCTAATAGGTGCCGAAAAATTCCCTTGCCACATATGACGAAGAAAATAATGTTGATCATTGATCCAATTGAGTTCTTCTTCCTTGCTCATCGGTAAAGGGTACTTTTTGTTGGCACTGGGGTTGGACATCATTGTTCGAAATGTCACCGTATGGAAGAATGCGGGTATTCCAGGAGACGTTTCTTCTTTTGATTCACTTTTATAACTAAGTTTTCTTCTATTCGTGAACTGATTAAAAAATGCCTTTGCTTTTCCCATTATATTATTATATTATTATCAAAGAAAAAAATTTGCGCGGAGAAAGATTGTATAATGTGAAAGGATTATTGTCGTAATGAAATGAAATAAATGATTGTTGTTATTTAAAAGTTATTTGAGCGATTGTTTAAATAAACGATTGTTCTGATCATTCGATGGTGAATCTCGTCTTATTTATAAAGAAATTAATTATATTATTATTCTAATTATTTAATTATTATTACTATTGCTTTATATTTTTTTTGCCGAGCATTTATATTTTTTATTTAGATTTATATTTAAATAAATTAATTTAATTTAAAAAAATTTTTTTTTTGTTTTTGTTTGTTTTTGTTTTGCTTTTGTTTTGCTTTAATGTATGTGTTCACAAAAAAATCAAATTATTACTATTATTATTATTATTATACAGCTCCGGATGTCCGGAGCCTATTGATTACACAGTGTATACATATCTAGATATCATTCAAAGCTTATCCGAGCATCTAGAACTTTGGTAAAAATAAAAGGAAGCAAAATTTTTCTTTTTAATGTTCTCTAAAAAACCATCTTTTTGAAATCTTTTATATTTGTGGTAAAGGAAATTCGTTAATTCCCTTGATGTGTATATATTTTTAATTTTTTATTTCGTATTTTCCCCTTTTTTTTTTTTCTTTTGCTTTCTTATTAATATTTAAAAGATTTGATCGGTTTTACCCGTGAATCCAGACATCACCCGAGCAAAATAAGATTATTAAATTAATTCTCATGTACAAATTAGCTAAACCACTTGTTATATATAGAAAGAGAAAAAATCCATTATACTTGCTTTAATAATTGTATTTTTAGAGTAATATGATGAGAGCAGTATAATTTGTTTAAAAAAACTGATAGTCCAGGAAATACCCGAAACTAAGTACTACAACAACATTGATTCACAACATGAAACAAGCAAGTTATGGAAACAAAAAAAAAAATAAATGAATGAATAAAAAATGAATAAATGAATGAATGAATGAATGAATGAATGAATGAATGAATGGATAGTCTTGGTTATTTACATTGAAACATATTAGAATCGCAATTTGCCGCTTGAACTAGTTCATTTTAATGGGAACAAGAAAGATGTCTGCTTTAAGATGGCAATTCTTGCTTCTTTCATGCATGCGGTAAAAAATGGATTAGTGAGGCATCTAAAAATTAAAGTTTTACAAAGTTGGCAAGTCAATCTCCTTGGCTCGAGTCCAATTGATCAACAATACATATAGAAAAAGTTTACAATCTACACATTCTAGTAAGTTTGAAAAAAAATATTAATGAATGAAATTGAACTATTTTGCCGAAAGAAGCCTTGGATATAATGTTGATAATGAAAACACGTCCCAAAAATAGAATCAAAAAAATAAATTCACGTTACATTTGAGGTGTCTATCACAAATATGCAAAAATTACAGGGATTCAAATTAAAATTTAAAAAAAATAATAAATAATAAATATTTATTATTAAAATCAATCAATTATTTATTTGGATCGTAAAAATCGGGATAATTGCCTTGTTTTATTCGTCCAATTTTTCCCCTTGGATGTTTATCCGATATACATGATTAATAAACGTCATTTTGCCGCACAAAATCATCTCCACTAATAAATAAATCTAATTAACGATCATCGATTTTTTTTTGTTTTGAATGGGTAACTAAATAAGAAGTTGTTAATGATTGTAATCGATCCAATAAGCAACTGTCTACTTTATTAAATGATCCACAAAAGAAAAACTGCAAGCTTTGTAGTCGTATCATTTAAATTTCCATTTTTTGTATCTAATAGTAGTAGTAGTAGTTGTTGTTGTTGTTGTTGCATATTTACGGCTTAGTCTGTTACCTAGATTTAGGCATCTTGGAATAATTCCTCATCCTCTTCTGTTGGTGTTATTGTTGTTTGTCTTCACAATTAGTCATACAAATAAATCATAGGGGCTTTGCTTAAAATTTATGACTAATCCCATTGATAATTCTTTATTCAGCTGGTGTGATAAATTTTTTGGTACGTCCTCACGGTTTTTGTGGGAAACCTTGCGTTTTCTCTAATTGTACAGTTTATCAATCGTGTCAATATTAGTTTCACCATCATCGCCCGCCACCTTTTTTAGATTCAAATTTTTCTTTGTCGTTTCAATTTTTAAATCTTTGTATTAATAAAATGTGTAGATTTTTTAATCCATGAGATTGCTTTTTTAAAAATCATCAATGCTCAGTAAGAATCAATTAGTTTACTTGAAGGAACCCATTGCATCCAAAGAGGTTTTTAAAAGGCTATATGTACTTTGAAGAATTGGCAATTCAGATCCTGACGATCAAATCCTCCTCATCTGTTATTTTGATCATAACTAACATTATAATTTTGATAAATTGCTTTTTTTGTTTTTGATGATACGTTTATGTTTAATGAAGAAAAAGTCATTTTTGTGTATATGTATGTTGTATGTGAAATTGAAATTTATAATTAAAATTTTGGGATGGGGTGATTGGATATGAAATTCTGATTGGTTAATTTGAATTTCACGTGAATTGCAAATTCACATAGATTTAATTTTCACACATAACATATAACATATATATGTATTAGTATACACGCTGTATACAAATAACGTGAGTGGTGATCATGTTGGTTCACATTTTTGTCATATTTGCCATGATCCGTGTTGTGTTATTGATTCGTTTTGTCTAAAAGAATTCATCCGCGATTACATTTTTGTATTGGTTCAATGTTATAGGAAGGGTAATTGATGCCTATTCTGTTCTAGCATGTTTACAGCAATAGTCGACCCCCTAATGATAATTGGATCGTTTTCCGTTTTCTTTTTTGTCCATTTTTACTATTAATATATATATATGGACAATTAATATTATATACAAAAAACAAACTATCCTATCTTTATATTAAAAATTTTCGGTAATAATTTGAAAGACATTATATAATCTGTTTGTTAAAAATAATAAATTTTATTCATCTTGGAACATTTTCATAAATAAAATGGCAATAAACAGGTAAGTCGGACGTTTGTTTATATTGTCTGTGTATTGATTGTTTATAATAGAAATATCATAATGGAGGATATATAAATATAAAATTTAATAATAAAATAGTTTTCTATTTAAGTACATTAATATGATATTATAAATAATATTTTGTTTTTTATTAAGAAAAAAAGTGAGATTATCAAAAATCAATCAATAACAGAAACAAAAAATAAACTTTGATAATAATGACGTGTCGTGATATTTATTATAACCGAGTTTTTTATAATCACCAGTTCGACATGTGATAAGACAGTTTTTCTATATTTAATTTTTTAAAATTTTACTTTATTCTATCACACGGGCAAGTATAAATGACGTAAAATAATAATAATTAATAATTAATACAACATTTAATATATTATTATTATATAATAAAATTTAGAAATATTCAATAAACGTAATTTGTTTATTTGCATACACAAAGGATGAAGCGTGGATTTATTCTATTGTATAATTAATGATTGGCTAAATGAGATCTACTCATACTAACAGTATAAGTATAAATTCTAAATTCAATCACACAATACTCATTCATGTACATACTGTGCATTGATTTGTTAATCTATCTACAAGTGTTAATTCATTTATTACTCGTACTTTTTAAAGTGAATTATTCAAAAATACTTTATTTTAAACAATAAAAATCAATATACATACGTAATTAACAAAAATTATTTTCATTTTCTTGTGACTCTAAAAGACCTTTGTTTCAGCTTCATAACCGTTAAACAAAAAAGTTTTTTGTTTGCTTGTTTTTTAATTACAAGAGAATCATAGAAAAATGTGCTTCCAAATGAGAATTGGTTAGCTAACCGCTTTCTTTCGAATAGAGTTTATCTTCTTAACCTTCTTTTTATCGATTTTCTAAATATATATAAAAGTTATTTACTTACCAATGTTGATGTTTGTTTGATCAAATGTTTTTAAATTTTTGATTGTCGTCTAGAAAGATTATTTCTGGGCCTAATCTAATTTGACTTCTATTCAAAGTGTACGTGATCGTAACCATGGAAAATAAAGAGCACAGAACTATCTATCTACACTAATAGTTTATTGTCGCCTTTTTCCTCTAGTAGCCATTATTTTTATTTGGACATGTCAAGATGGGAGTTTTTTTCGTCGCTCATTATTATATTCAAAAACATTATTACATGGTAATGGATGACATTGAATTGCTATTTATATCTAGTTTTTTTATAACTGGTGAAAAGTATATCGTCGTGCATAGGTATCGAATTAATAATTCACGAAGCCAATACTTCAATAGTTCTTTAATTATGGTTTCTGAGGAATGTCACATGTCCTAAATCGAAGTGAACAACTTACGACTCAGCAGTGCGAATTAATATATGTAGTTGATGATTCTGAATTTTCTAATGCGAGCATACATACTGACAAGCAAATAGGATCTTTTTCATATTTGAATAGATGAAAGCTTTGAATTATTGGACATTGAACTAGAAGCTTAATTAACATCAACTAGAACCCTCACAATTGTGTGTAAGTATTTCAACCGCGTTGATAAAATATGTATACATGTACATAACTGTGTTATATAATGAATGTTCGGAGATCAGTGAGTGACGACGACCTACGACTTCCAAGCTATCTAATGCAAAGTTTCGGTTTGAATTACCTTCGACCAAGACCAGAGTAGTAGAATTGGATTCTATATTCGTTGAAAACAATTTGAAATCTTTAGGATTTTATATTATGATTCCAAAACCTTGCATTGGAGAACTTCATACATCAATGTTACTATTAATAATATATTCTGAATTTTGTAAAAAAATATTTAATTACATCTAACGGACTCGTTTTCTTGTAGCTCTCCATTTTTGTTTGTGAATGTATTAGTAGTCATGATTGCATTGTAAATATATATATATATATATATAACTGTTATATTATCATAGATTATTTAATTGAACTTTGATGTTACTGCTTCTCATGAAGGACTAATCGATGTAATGGATTTGAATTATATAATGAACGAATGTAATATTGTTTCCCACGCTAACTATAAATATGTTTACACTTTGTTCATTTTTGTCATCAAAATAATCGTTATATAGAATATTTCAGATATCAGTAATTCAGCCTATTTTTCCTTTCAGGGAATCTATATGTAATATTCTACGCTACATTAACCATTTGCTTATTCCGCGTTAATCTTCTTTACAATATACATAGAACATTTACTACTAGTTTTTCTAATGAATGTATAGTGTCATATTTGTCAGATACTCTAAAATTGCCTCTTGATGAATGAATAAAGTCCAAAATAAAAGTTTACCATACAGAGTGTAATTATGTGAAAAAGAACCATTTTTTCTCGTCGTGAAAGACATGATTGATACTTAGGTCGTAAAGCTATTAAAATAATGCTGCTTCTGTCGACCGTCCCTTTCATTCTTTTAAATAGACCCTGGTTCACTTATTGCTGTTTTTGCCACCACTAATCACAATTTAATTAAGGCCAAAAAATAAACACAAAACTCTCCAAATGTAATCCTTTTTTTTCTGTGTCGTAGACAATGTTGTAAAAAGCTTTAGCAGTTTCTAGATGAGAGAAGTTGCCATTACTGGTGAGAACGTCTATATGATCCTACACATCATTTGAGGTGACCTTTAAAGAGAAACAAAATGCCTGAATAATAACTTAAGGAACCATGTCATTATGTGACCCAGACAGAGATAATTTTCCGGCCTCGTCTGGCTAAAGAAAAACTAGTCCTTGAACGTGAGTGGAAAGAAAAAATTGCCATGTTTTTGGGCTAACAAAAAAAAAAAGATTTCGATAATCATTCAGTTAATAAAATTTGAGGACCTCATTTGATAGTAGTACAACCAAGATTTTGATCCCTGGAATTATATAAATATTTTGTGCATTTGTATTTATATTAATATTGATTATTTATTATATATTATTTATATACTTTGCTTTTATTAATATTAAAGACATAAATAAATCGATGTATGAATAGATAAGTTGCATACGCGTGCCCACTTTAAATTCACTGCCTAAAAAAGAAAAACAAATAATTATATTTTTTTATATTTATTTATTATTATTATTTGTTTTCTCCAATTCATACGATAAATATTTATTCTTAGTAAGCAAAAATTTTTTTCTGAGTTATAAACTATAACTAATAGTAAGTATCGATTTCGCCGATAGTAACAATGAATGATTAGTACAAGTGAATAAATTCTCTATATAAAAAAACAATTCTCTAAATTAAGCTATTAATTAATTAATTAATTAAATTAATTAAATTAATAAGCACTCACACGGACCAAATGTAATCAATCATATACGGTAAACCAATATCATACTAGTATTGCAAACTTAAAAATATGTGCGTCCAAAGCGAGGGAAATGAGGGGAAATGAGGGGAAAGTCGTGCATAAGCAAATCATGATTCGAGAGTCTAAGATCGAAATTATAATATCGTTTTTTAATCTCAACGATAGAATAAATAAATAAATAAACAAATAAACAAATCAGCCGTCGATTACTTAAGTAAATCGATGCTTAATTATAATTATAATTCGTTCTTTGACGTTTTTCCTCTTTAACGGAGAATCCGAACCAATCAAAAATCTTATTTTTTCTTTTATTTTTATTATACAAAAAAAGTTTTATACAAAAATATAAAATAAAGTTTAAAAAAGTAAAAATTATTTATTATTTTATTATTTATCTTTGTCGATCTTTTTATCATTATCAATCTTTATCTTGTCTCATCGATGATAATCAATAGCCTGCTTGTAATTCCGTTTGCTTTTGTGTCCATGCTGTTGTGGTCGCCGGCGCATATTTACGGATGTATGGATATGATGATGATGACGACATTTTTATCGAATCTACAAAGTTTAAAAAAAAAATGAATTTAAAATTTTTTGCCCCGAGATTTTTCAAAATAATGATATAATAATGTAAAAAAGAACTTTTTTTACCTTTAAATGATAATTGAGAAATTTTATTTTCATACCAATTTTTAACAGACTTTGCAATCAAATAATCAGTTTCACTAACAAATTTAATATGATCAACGTATTTATTATCTTCTATCATTAATCTTGCTTTTTTATTCCTACTCTTATTATTCTTTGTGTTGTTATTATATCCTTGTCTATTATCTTCTTTTTCTTCTTCTTCTTCTTCATATATTTCTTCTTCTTCTTCTTCTTCCTCATCATCATCGTAATAATTATAATTGTCAAATGTTGCACCAATTACCGTCAACAATTTATTTCCATGTTTTTTAATTGCATAAGCTTTATAATCTTCAACTAATCCATTATAATATTCTGTCAAATCTTCTTCTTCTTCGTTATTATCCTCATCCTCATCCATATTCATTTCCACCTCGTCATCTTCTCCTTCGCTTACCATCGTCTTACACTTTCTCGCGTTCTTATTCATCATGCTCTTTCTTATCTTTCTACTACGACTACTATTGCTACTAGCAACTTGTGGTTTCACTAATATTATAATAAACACGCCACATTCTGACGCTAATAAAAATACACCTTTCTCATTATACAATCCCAACAAATCATCATCCATCAAGTTCCAATGGAAGTCGTATAAATATTTGAATCCAACCAGACAATTCTCTATAACATTTAAAAAAATCCCACCATTTCCATCAAAACCGCCACCATAATAATTACTACTAGCACTGGCAATGGTCGTTGAAATAATCATCCAAGAATTTCTTTGCCACCTATCCACTTTACATAGATAATCTATAAACGGTGAATACCATGTCTTTGATATTTTTAGTAGAATATGGTCAATTATATAGGCTTGATCATTTAAATTCCATTCAAAAACAATATTGCTAGTTGTCCATCCAAAATTACCTGTAATACATGGCAGTAGATGTTTGCTACTATTATTATTATTATTATTATTACTACAATTACTACTATTACTACTATTATTTATTATTTTAAAAATATTGATGATTTGCTCTAAATCTTGTTTAGAATTGATATCGCCATGAAACATTTTTTGCTCAATTGACCTTATTATGATTACCGTGTTTCCTTCTTGGATGCTACTAAATATCGATCTACAAAATTTCAATACTAAGCTTTGTAGATCTCTTTTGTACTCGTTATCCATCATGTGTGAAGTTGTACATTCAACACATTTGCAATTATTGGTGATGGCGGTGTTAATATAATATTTGCTATAGTTTTTCTTATTGTGTGTAGTGGTTGTGGTGTTGTTGTTGTTGTCACTGGTGATAATATCCATTATGTTGATCAAAATTTGGTTTTTTTTTTTTTAGTTTAATTTAATAATTTAACGTTTTTAAATAATGTTTAAAAAAAAATTTTTTTTAGAAATTTTTATTGTTTTTATTGTTAAAAAAAACCAAAAATTTTTCTTTTATATAAAAAATTTTGAAAAAAACACATAAAAGCATTTTTCCGATTTAATGTTACACAGCATTAAAACAAATAAATAAAAGAACAATGTAAACACAAACAATTGATTAAAAAAAGTCTTTTTCTGTGCCACAAAAACCAAGTTAGCGAGTAACAAAGAAAATAATTAATAATAACGTAAATGCATAACAATTAACAATATTCACAAAAAAAAAAAATCACATAATAATAATGGTATATAAAACAATGAAGAATTTACATATTAATATTTAATTATGTTTTGTAATTGGTAAAAATATATGCATTTCATATGTTTCTACATTTTTTCTTTACTCACTTTTTTTCTCCAACGCCAAAAATTGTGAATAATATGAATGAAAAAAAATTTTTTTTCAATAATTATTATCAAATAAAATAAATACATTTGTGGCGAAATTAAATTTTTTTTATTTTCTTGCCTTAAAATGTGTTCATTCATTCATTTCTCAAAAACAAATACATTAGTAATCAAAAAAAATTTTTTGTTTTTAAAAAAAATATTAATGTAATAATCATTATTAACACATGTTGATGATTCTGATCCACATCTTTAATTATTTTTTCAGATAGCTAATAATAATAATAATAATGAATGGTTATTAGGACATATTAACACCAGACAAGAAATTTTAGGGGTTCAAAAGTAATTTGCAGACAAAAATTTACCATCACTTGAAGTAATCCGAAAATGAGTTACAGAACTAGCTCTTGTATAGAATTTTTAAAGAAGCGAGAATTAAATCTTTAAGGATGACACTTTTAAAATAATCCGATCACTGGTAATAATTTCTTTGAGTTGGTCGTAGAAGAAGAATTCAGAAGTTATGATATTAAAGAGGGCCTGCAAAAAAGATGGTGAAGTCTATTTTACATACTATTTTTTACACAATTCTTTTGTTTCCACCCACTTGGCTTAGAAAAACAACCATTTGAATGTAAAGCTTCATATAACAGAGAATTTTCTTTTTATGGGAAACAAATACGAGTTAGCATGCAATAATGGAAAAATCAAGAGTTTAAAATAAGTGCCACGTAAGTTACAAGCATTTCTCGACTTTTTAGTTATTTTTGACGTAATTAGTGCATGTTTCTGCATTCAATAATAATAATTGGTTTATTGTATGTCTGACTATAATAAGGCTTTCCATCTAGAAAATTTTGAATGCCTAGATGTGTGCAATAATAGAAATTTTAGCATGTCTCATTTCATAGGCAGACATACAATAAAATATTTTAATAATAATAGTAATAAATATGTACATTTGAATAATGTATTTAAACATACCGTTTACTCTCTACAATAATAACGGATCTCTCTATAACGGATATTGTTCTATAATAATAACAGACTGAGAAAATTTAAGCACAAGCTATGTTCCATATATAATTACTATTACTCTTTAGAACGGATTCTCTCTATAATGGACATTTTTTCGTAAATCAAATGGTCCGTTATGGAGTGCTTTTCTAAAACTTTGAAATTTCATAACTATTAATAAATGGTTGATCTTATTTTCACCAATATGTAGAGAAGGCGGAGAGCAACATATCAATGTAAAAAAAAAAGTGTCATCAATAACATAAGTTTTTTGATCCTCAACCTTACTTTTTTACTTTAAACTAGACCGCACAAACTTGATTTTTCGGTCCTCGCAACCAGCCGGATTGGTTTTTGGAAGAAATAAAAGACGGATCACTGGGTCATTTTCAAATTGAGAACCGAAAAATCGGCCTTAATTGAATTGTTGCACAGATCAATTACATCCAATCGACAAGAGTGTTCACTATGCTACTCCCATCTTTTATTTTTTTCTCAGGTAATTGTATTCTTAATTTGATAGCATTCAAAAATCAATACTGGATTTTCTGCTGCTTTCCTGAGCTCATCTATCCAGATAAGAACTTGATCTGGGATTTCATGTGCACAATTCCCAAAAGGCAGGCATCTTACCTCATCTTCAGTGACTATTTGAGGTAAAGTCTCAAATCCAGTTAAAAATTTAAGGCTTTTTTATAGAATACTTCACTAAATTTAACCATGTATTCTACTTCAATAATTAGTTTAGAATCTTCAAGCCAATTGAGGAATGTCTTTTATTTTTTAAGACATCCATCAAGAACATTTTGCAATTGTTCTGACTCAGCAGTAAGCCATTTTGCAAACATTAGGCGAGTATTTTATTTGTCAAATATTGCTAAACAGTTGTTAGTTGGTATAACCAACAGCTTGAGATTAGCTTTTGATAAGTTTTTAAAGGATATTAAAATAAATGCCAGTATAATTTATGTATCAAGTCAGATTTCATATTCAATGGGTTTTCTTTATTACTATCATTATATCCACCAGGTAAGTGGTATGTTAAATTGAGAAGATTATATGGGCATACTTGTTCCGAAGAGAGGCCTGATGGAGAATTAGTTTTTTCCAAGTGTTGTATTTCAAAGTTCGCTATTGCAATTTGTAATGCATGCAGACTACAAGGTATTCAGTAGGAGGAAGATTGTAAATTTAACAACTGCACTAATTTGGAGTCAGACATATAAGAGGTATTATCTGCGAGCCAAAAATTGCATTCTTTCGGACTAATCTCATTTTCCTTGCACTTTTTTTTTTTAACTGTTTTGGCTACAGTATTTCCATTGCATTTATCTAGGACATCCATCGTTGCAATAGTAATTGTGAACTGATTTTTGTCCTCATTACAATGAGCAAAACGAAACAAAAATATGTTTTTATCACCATGTGTGCTTTCATCACACATTATTCCATAAGAATAAAAATGTGATTTGGTATCTTTTGGACAATTTTGATGATGACACAAAGTGGCAATTCCTTTATTCCAGCATAAAATAGTTCCAGTTGAAAGTCAATGACCTGGCTCCTCACCTGTTAAAAAATGTATAGTTGCTCTAGTACATTCTATCAGTGTTACTGATTTTGGTTGCAAGTTGTAAAAATTAGGTGTGTATTGATTCTTGTTTTCTTTTATCACCCTTTTTATTTATTGCATACTGGAACTGATTAGGAGTAGGATTTTTTGCTTTTTGCATAGAACACGACCTAGAAATATTTCACTTCTTTTATCTTAAAAGATCTTAATTAAAGATCAGTAATCTCTTACTCTTTTCCATTCCACTAACCCTCCCTTTTTTGTATAGATGAAGACTGTTTATAAATCCCATCATTTACAAATTATTTTGCTTTTTTTGAATAAATTTCTCCATGATGGTTCTTTTATCATATTTCATTGTTTGAAATAGAGTATAAGCATTGATTATTTGATTTCTAGGCATGCTCAATGAGTTCATTCCTCTTTTTTTCTATTCTATTTTGTGGATGGTTTCTTGAAGTTCATGAAATAAAGATAGGAACCACAATTAGCCACAACCGCTACCACAATTCAATTTTTATATACTGCAATTAGTTGCAACTAGTTAATTATAGCTACTAGTTAAAAGGTTTTTTTGCTTACATATAAAGGTGCTGTTGATTAAAGATGGATTACGAAAAAATTAATAAACCAATGCTTGTTATACAAACGGTTAAAAAAGATATTTGTTTCGTGTATAAAGACGTGGTTAATTAAAGAAGATGAATTATGATTACGATGTTACATAATTTGTTTGTTTGATTCATATAAAAAAAATCAATAATTCAATGTTTGTTATGCAAACAGTCAAGAAAAATACTTGCTTTGCGTATAAAGACGTGTCTAATTAAATATTACATGACTCGTGTTAATAATAATTCAATTTTTGTTGCGCGAACAATTAAAATAAAATAAAAAAGTAAATTCTTATTTGAATTATTGTAATACGCATGTAAAATCAATTAGTCGGACACAGCAGCCAATTGTTTAAAGTACTTGATAATGACCATTTACATGCTTTATTCTAATTATTCCATGTTATGTGATTTACCACAAAATAATTATACTTGAAACAAGTTTTTAAACCGAAGCATACTAGTATCCTGCAATTTTTGATAAAATAGACTATTTCGTGACCAAATGGTGCATTTATCGAGTAGTCTAATAAATTACTACAAAAACCAATTTTACACATTGCATAATCATGCATGATGTGCTATGCGAGATCCACGTTAACGTTAAAATCAAGTTGGCGTCGTCTTCATCGTGAAACACATCACTTGGGTCAAGACAATAGTCTATTTTATTAAATTCAAAACATGTAAATAGGAAGCTGTCCCACGTTTTTTTCGTAACACTAACGTAGAGATATTTCGAGTACATTAAACCATGAAATCACGCCATCATTATAGTGATACAATGTTAAAAAATGCCAAAACTTTCATAGCGATAATATTTCTTTGGAGTCACAATATTATAAATTACACACTTATTACTATATATATATTCATTCGGAGCATCAATTATTATGTATTCAAAATCTATTTTTTTAATGATTAATAAAAAACTAGAGTGACGAGTAGTGGTAATAACCACCACCGTTCTTTTTAATTTTATTATAATTTCTATATACTTTACTTGATAAACCGAACTTAATGGTTTGTACAAAATAATAAAAATATCTTATAATGATAAAATTCGGTTTAAAAAATGGTTGTTTAGTCAAGTTTAGTCAAGATGATTATTACTAAATTAGGCTTTTAACCCTTTACGCTGCCAGCCCTGTTTGTATCGTAAATCGAATTTTGATAAGCTGATCCTATTCTTGTGATTTCCAAAAGTTCGGCTTATCGAGGTTTGACTGTAATATTTTAATGTAATATTCTGAGATTTACGTGTGCTTCAAAACATGGGCAGATATTGCTGGGTAACTATAAGATCCTTATCAAGATAGTAAACAATTGGTATTTTGCTTTGTGTTAAATCTTTGTTTTTTTCTCATTGACATTGAAATGAGGTAAATAGTCCTGCCTTGTATTGGAATGTTACAAAAGCATCACAGTTCATTTATTTTCAGGTAAAAAAAAAATTCAAATAACAACTCCTAATAACCATCATTAAACATAATCAATAAATATTTACAATAAATATTTTTTTCATTCACAGTAACGTTTAAAAAATGCTTACTTTCAACTGGGAAGAGGGAAGGTATAAGGGGGAGAAGTTGAACGAGTTGGAAGAAGAGTTATATAAGGGAGAATTCAGTAATGAAGAACAGAAGAAAAGGTGTGAAGAGAGGGTAAAGAAGAAAAGAAAAGGTTGGTGAATGACAAAGATGATAAGTGGGAGCAAGTAAAGAAGTTACAAGACACATTAGTTGAGTTTGGCAAAGAAAAAGGTAACAAAAATTATTTTCCATTTCATTTATTTATTTGGTATACTGCTTACAACACTGACTAACTTATGCTTTTTTCCTTCAATACTTTGAAATTAAATTTTTTAAATTGTTTTCTTCTATTATCTATTAATTATTATTCGTTTTGGAATTACCCTTTTTTAGTTGGTGTAGGTAAGTATCATTATTGCTTTTATACACTATTTATGGTGTTAATTAATTATCATATCCATGCTGATTCTCATTATGGTATATACATTAATATTATCAAGAAAAAGGAGATATATTGAGTTCACTTGAAGAGGTGAAGACTGAACTCACTGGATTCAAAAGGACATTTTGATAGTGAGAAGACATTTTCAATATCCAGCATGAATACTCAAAAAAGAATTAGGCTTGCAACATACTATAATGCATGTCAGCAAGTTGAATGGATATCCTTAACCATTTACATGAGGGGAGGGTGATGAGGACTCACATGCAACTCAATACACCAATTATATTCAAGATGTCTTCCTTTGGGTCTGACTTTCTTGCAAGACATGTAGTAAAAGATATACATACAAATAAGCGCTATTGGAATACTGGGATTCCTCATGGCACAGCAGATGTGGTTGTTTTTGAATCTAAAGCACTTTGTGAACAAGATGCAGTAAAATTAGTCTTTGAGTTAAAGAAGGTAAGCGATTGAACTGATGGTGAAGAATTTCCAATGAAAAGTATTTGGAAAGCTTCCATGTACATAACATTACATGTTGGTCATCTTGTGTGACAAATTTCAGACCTTTTCAATCATGATTAATTTTGAAATAAATAAATTATTACGTCTTGCTGATTTATATAATCAAGGATTGATTGATGTCTTAATCACGTGGGATGTAGCACAAAAGCACCCAATCCTATCAAGAGAATATATATATTTTTTTTAACCAGATTAATAAATGATTGTTATTTTATTAACAATTAATATAAATGCTTTTTGCGCCAGAAGAATCAGAAATAGAATAATGATAATAATGTAGAAAATCATTTAAATAATATCTATATACATAGATTCATTGTGAGTGTTGATTATTGTTTTGATTTGTGTAATAAATAGAACTTGGTTGGTTTTTTTTTTTTGGAAAGAGAAATCCTCAAAGAACTTTTACTTCTTTAGTTGATTTATCATAATAATGAGTAAGTTTAAGTTTAAATTCTGAAATGGTAATTTGTAATAATTTCTATAATAATAACAACAATGATGATGATGAGATGTAAATATCATTAATATAAAAAAAAACATTATTATCAACTAATCTACTAATTAATTGATAAAGTAATAAAATAAATAGTTATCATTTACCAATAAATGTGCTTGCTCAATGCTAAGTTTATCACCAATATTGCAAATTTTATAATCAGATTTAAGCACCAAATGTTCTCTTTCTACAACAACTGGCATTCCCAATTTCTCCAATTGTTTTGACATTGTGACCGGTATTGGGAATCCTCCATTGGAATAATTATTACTAGCACTCCCAAAATTATATCGAACTATACCCTCAGGTATTATAATTGTTCCATTGGCAATATTTCCAGGTCTGGCATGATCTTTTTTAATAAAACTTTCAAAATAATCTTCGACACTTTCCACTGATTCATTAGTAAATAATAGGCCACCATCTCCTTTGAGTAACTGTTATACATGAATGTGAAAGTGAAAAAGAGAGAAGGGAGGTGTGAAGAAATTAGAGAATGCATATATACACATAATTATTACTCAAATATATAAATATATTAAATAATAATTACTTTGGAAAACTCTGATAAATTCAATTCAAACTCATCACTTTCGTCAACTCCAATTGCCTTTTGCATAAGTGTTCTTTTACAAAATATTATTCTATCAAATCATTAATTAAATAAATGTAATTTAATAAAATATAACTATTTATATTATTACTATTACTATTCTTATTATAATCATAATAATAATAATAATTGATTTACTTACTTTCCCTTATGAGCCCAATCAGCTCTGATCTGTTGTAAAAATAAATTTCTCATACCTTCAGGTTCTAATCTCCAAATATAATTATAATTTGCTACATAGCTTTGAATCTTTAATAAATAATATATTTAAAGGAAAATTTTACATTAACATCATCATTATATGAAAAAGCGATCGTTAATCGATTGATTGGTTAAAATAATGATGTAATAATATTCATACCGTTTCAATCAATTCTTTTTTGCCTTCTTTATTTTGTTTGGAAACTTTTCCCAAATTTACTTTAAAAATTTATTAAATTAAATTTCATTTATTAGCAAAATACTATTATCAATATATATATTTATTTAAATTTATTTACTTTCTTTTCTTCTTTTTGAAATTGGCATTTTTATTATATATTAATATATGCAAAAAAAAATTTTTTTCAGATATAAAATCACGTTGGTGTAACTTTAGTTTTTGCAAAAAATAATTTCAGTGTGAAATTTTGTTAAACTCACGTCACTAATGCAATGTGATTATAATATCAACAGCCGTAATGTTTGATGCCTTTTATTGCATATTTTACCTAAATTATATAGGACAAATATGAAATAGAACTACAACATTATTAGATGTGTTTTAAGGTGAGAAAAATTCCTTTCATGCTTTCAAAATAAATAATACCCAGATGCTTGGTGATTATTTAAAGAAAGAAAAAATTACCTATAAAGTTTTCCACGAAGAAAGAAAAATCACGAATAAAAGTGAATCTTTATGATTACATAATTAGGGAAGTCTTTTTCAAAATGATAGCTATAATATTATTCTAAAGTTATGCCCGTCAAATCAACTTTGTCTTCTCTTTGTGTATATATGCATGTTCTGAGGTATGGCTCTTATATTCTGCTGCTGCTGCCTTTTCAATATCTTCATCTTGATCTGTTTGTGCTGTGTAATTTTGCTGATCCTAGAATAAAATACGAATCGAGAAAATGGATAACATACATAATATACACCAGAAATATTGCACAAGCATTTAATTGCCTTTTGTAAGATCACAGATAGGTGAACTCTTGTATTCACCATAAAATTTTAAGTATACATTGTCTTCAAATTCGGAGATAGCGATATGATGCTGCTTTAGTTGATTGAATATCATTTTCCTTTACGACAAGGGTGTGAAGCAATTCTATCAAGAATAAATAAAGAGTCCTCGAGCAACATACTTTTACAATTAACTATTGGACTTGGATAGAATTTTGTAAATATCCATGTAGAGCTTTTTACTGGTAATAACTTTTCAGTGAGTGTTCATAACAATTTTAAAAAAAATAATTATTAAAACTAGTTTGTAAATTATTACTTTATTGTTTTACGATGCAATAACTCTAAACCTATTTTAACTGTTTTAGAGTATCAATTTCGTAGTAAATTAACTTAGAATGGCTTTTTTTCAAAACCAAGAACCATTTATTTGTTGATGAGTGTATAAATTTCTGTTTATTCACACTAGTAAATGGAAATAGTTTAATCGGATCAATTCTTCTTTGTATTTATTTATTAATTACTGATCTCACGCAATCGTAAATATATATTATTGATAAGAGTGAAATTCAGATTCATCAAATATGTACTATTTTAAAATTTACACATGAATTAATTTTAAAAATCATGCATATATACTCGAAATCTATTTTGAATTTAATATTAATGTTAATCTAATAAATTAAATCGTTATTTTTAGATCTTATTTGCTGCTTTTAAGCATTTTACTCATGACGTAGGCTTTCAAATGTTCTACTCGCAGCACTATAAATTTGCTCAGATATTTGTGAAGAATTAAAAAATCTTTATTCTCATAATACAAATTCATATTCGTAATACAGCTCAATCTTGTTATTAGACTTATATAATCGACCTCGCGTAATATATAAAAAAAAAGGTATTTTCTTTTCTTGAAACAAATGCAACCTGCAATTCTAAAGAAGATGAAGTTTTCACACCACATTATATATTCAATTTTTATCTTTGCTTTATTTGTTTCATATAATCCAACACAATGCCACCACGTGTACAAGCATTCTCCAGAACAACTTATAAACAGCCATTTATTTTACCTTGAACCAGCACGGACTGCCTTTTCTCGTCATGTTAAACCCATAAATTATCCTGATAAATGTAAATTAATACAGTTACATTTGAGCACTAGACACGGTGAATATTATTTCGTATACAAACATGTACAAATTTGACCGCATCAAATAATCTTTTTAAAACAATTATTAGGAGCAAGACATCCAACCCCAGATGATATTAATGCTTATGAAAAATTGGAAAAAATATTTGCTAATGTTCCTATTGCAAAAGAATGGGTAATAAACATTATTTGTCATATTCAGTAAAATTTATCATAACTGAAAAAACATCTTTCTTTTTATATAAAGTATAAAAATGTTTTCCCGATGAGTAAAAATTTTCAATTGATCAAACGAGGAGAAATCGAACCGTTTTTTGATGGTAAGCAGTCTCGTCAAAGATACCCAGAATTTTGGAAGGGAGTTAAATACGATCCTGAAGTTGTAAAATTTCAAAGTAGCGGTGTTTCAAGGTACAATTTCATGTTTGGAATTCCTACTTATTTTTTATTTTAACACATATAACATTCAATATTGTTTAAAGATGTGGTGCATCGGCAATGTCCTTTTCCGAAGGATTATTTAATGGCAGAGGCTCTTTAGACACTTGTAAAAGTCAACCTGTATACATTTCGTCTGTACCGGAGGTATAAAAATTTTATTACGCCAGCCATTTATAAACTATTTTTATTCAATTCTGTTAACACACATATTAATATATTAATATTATATTGTATAGGAACAAGATGAGATTTTGACACCATTCAGGGCCTGCCCACGATGGGCTAAGACTGTTTCTAATAACAATACATTACTCAATGAACAGCTTTATTCATATGGCAACAAGACTCTAGCACAAATTGCAAAACGTCTTTCTGATGAACATGGTCTTAGTCCGCCTCTTGATCCACATTTATTACCATTTATGTTTACTAATTGCCAGTTTTGGGTCGTTCATTTTAATCGAGCTGACACATGGTGTTCATTACTAAGCCGTAAAGAACTTCTATTATTACGATATTATTGGGATATTTCCGATTATTATACATTACAATATGGACATCCTTTTAATAAACAAATGGCCTGTCGCTATATTACTCAACTTGTAAATGGAGTTGATGATTATTTAAGTGGGAAGTCTTTTATGATAGCTGATTTGAAGAATACTCATGGATTTACTTTACTTTTAACATTTACTTTACTGGTATGTGAAAATTTTCATTTTTATTTCATCTTCTGTTCTTTGATGATAACATCTATATTGCCTTTTGATCACAGGGATTATTTAAAGAAAAACATCCACTCACGGCAGATTTAACCTTTGAACAAATTAAAAAAGTCAAGTTTACAGGATATGCAAGTATACCCTGGACTTCTACACTTTATTGGGAAGTATATTCTTGTTCAGGTGATCACAAGGATAATGTAAAGATAAGAGCGGTATTTAACTTTGAACCATTTGTGATTCCGGGTTGTGGAAGTGAGTATTGTGACTGGAACAGGTTTAAAGAACTTTTTAGTGATCAGATTGGGTGCGATTTTAAGAAGATGTGCGCTTTTCCTTAATAGGATGATTTAAATTGTTTGTTACTTTTTTTTGTTAAATAAATCAATTTTTTTATATAATAATTTTGGCATTATGTGTCCCGTGCATCTGTTGTGGGAAGGCATCATCATCAAGTTTGATAAAAAAAATTTATCATCTTAGTTTTTTCTTCTATTAAACATACCATAGAAAACCAATTGTTTATAGAGATAATAATAATTAATTATTGTTGTTATTAATAATAATAATTATTAGTATTGTTGTTTTAAACAAAGAATACTTGCTAATGTTAATATTAATATTAAATTATATCTATTAATATTAATATTGCACATTAGAATTATGCCTTTAAGATTTTTCTTTAATATGTGACTAATTCTTGTGTGGTTTTTTTTATTTCAAACAATTGATTGAATAAAAAATAAACCAAAAGAGCTTTCAGGAAATAAATGTGGCTCTTATTAAAAGAGCAATTTGAGAAGTTCAAGAAAGATTTTGCGAATGTATGAATGAAATAGTTGAAAAAATGAGGAGAGGTTGGGATTACAAGTGAGATTTATGAGTGTGCAATGAATTACAAAAAAAAGAAAAGTAGTTGGTATTTGAGTTGATAAATTTTTGAAAGGAATTTGTGAGAAAACGGGTAATTTTGATTATGAAAAAAAAATTTTACCCAAGAAATAAACCCAGATTTCCTTACTAAAGGAACTAGCAAAGAATAAATTATTATTAAGTTGATTATTCATATGATTTATTGAAGTTCATTATGACTAGTGTAATAATAATAAAATTCTCAAATTATGCTTGATTCCAAATAACAAGATTTCTAGTATGGTTGTCAACGAATGCCTGGTTCCCTCGTCTTGGACTTTTTGTCAATTATCAATCAAAATTTTTTTTAAATATGAGTCAATACCAAGAATACAAAAGAATCCAAGAAAAAGATAGAAGCGAAGGACTTGAGCAAGTGTTACCAGAGCATGATTATTTTAGTTAATAAAATAAATTATTCCATATTGATTATTCATAATTTTGCTTTTATGAGAAGTTGGTTAAATTTTGTCAACGAAAAATATCAAAGAAAGCCAACTGGTTGGCTACTAATCTAGAGTAAAATATCAACAACAATATAAACATTTAAGCTTCGTCAAATACTTGCTATAGCCAGAAGAAAGCTCTTCTATGACAAGTGGTCCAATCCTTGATCAAATTGAGTCATTTAAAAAGCCACATTAAGATAAAAGCTAACTATGTAAATGTTTAACAATTATAAATGAAAAAAGTAATCGTCGTCGCCAACATATTTGCTTCGCCAATTTATAGATGTTTTTATTTCCAAGAAAGTACTTTTAAGATAAGCCAGCAAATAATGCGTTTAAATAAATCGCCTAAAATTCAATAACATAGATAAAAATCTGAAATTAATTATATTTATGTATAAATAACAATCGTAATTTTCGTTGTAAACTTCACTTGATCCATTAATTATACATTTCCAAATGATTCTTATTTAATAATTATTTGTACCATTAACATTTTCATTTGCAGAAAAGTCTTATAAAACAAGTCTGCAAATACTCGACTTAATATACTGTATACTATCTAGAATTCAAAAGAAAGCTGCAGGCCTGATTTCTGACATACATTGAAATATCTAAATACGACCGACCATTTGGCTCTGAATTAAATGGATAAAGAAGCATTTTTATATTAAAATTTTTTG